ATTTTTCTAAATTTATTTATTTAGTAGAGGTTTTACGGCGCTCGCAACTGCATAAGGTCATATGAGCGCCAAGGGGTGGATGTCAACAGAGAAGTCTTTACAGGGAATCGGGTTTACTCTGCTCATCTCTCTAGCTTTAACAGCACAAAGTCTGTTTTGACTTTCAGGGCACCCCGGAAATAACGGGTCACAAGAGTATGACAAACATATAAAAGAAGCAGAAGAAAATGACGATAGTAAGGATTAGGAAAGAAAAAGCAGCAGTTCCCTGTTGTAGTTCAGGAACAGTTATGAGCATGACATTGTTGAATCAGCCCTTGTTACAGTTCTACTGGTACTAAGAACGAGAAAAGTCCGCCCCTTGGGAATGGCCTAAAGACACTTCAGTCAGTGGCACCGCCCTAAAAAGGAACCTTCGTCTTCTGAGTTGAGCACTCTACCATACATCATCATCCAGTGCCAGACATCGGCGATCATGGTTCTCCGTTCATTCCTTTGCTCGAATGCTCTTAAAAAAGCTATGTTTCCCTGATCTTTCCCTGTCACTCACTTGTTCAGGTTTCCCAAGTAGGTTGCTCTGGGCCTACCCCTGCCTCGCTTGCCTTCAATTTTGCCAGTAAGAGCTAGATGTTCAAGACCCTTGCGTCTATTCTACCATTACGCCACGGGGAAAAAACCTTAGCCTTTCTTCTAGGAAAACTTTACAATATAAATCGATGTTAAAACAAGAACGAAAGAAAAAAACAAAAACAACCACAACGTATTAGAACAAAGAACAAATTCAAATGTGAAACGTGCAACTCTTTTATGTGCGTTTATTCTGTGAAATACAGGGATAGACATCCAGTGTGTGTAGAGAATTACAACAGAAGGTACATAACAAAGAACACTTGTTCCCCAATGGTGATCTTCATGCAATATTGGCCCAAGCATTCTGTAATCTGACTGCTCAAATAAAGGGCATCTAGGATGGAGCGAGAATAATGAATTTAGACACAAAACAAACATTATCAATAGGATCACCAAGTAAGTAAATTGACAGTTTTAAGAGGGATTGTCTTAAATATTATTATTTTACAGGTTGTCCTTTCGATAAAGGTCAGCAAGACGAATTTAGATTCAGATATTTATGGACAAATCTGGTAAGGACAGATGAGGATTACGTGAACATTTGCCAAAAGAAGTCCAAGACCAGTTTTAAATGATCACGTAAGGGCAGGATAATACGCACATCCCTACCAGACGTGTGCGGGAAAAGGTAACCGTCGAAAGAAATTTATCGACTTTGTCTTCGGTTGAACAACCTACACGAGACAACGACATGATAACGAGAAAAGTATACTTTTTATTGGTGCGTAAAGGAATGATCAATATTTCGACATATTTTTCAACACTGCGTGGTGTTAGAAACGGAGGCACGTGTAGTCATTATTTACAGACCTTAAAAAGGGAGCACGAACGTACAAGTCTCAAGCTTTGTGCTATCTTGAACAAACTCCATTTTCCCGATATTAACGTAAATCCCTCTTCAAGCTCTGAATTCCAGTCGGAAAAAAACGAGATATGCTACAAAATGAAACAAAAATACGGAAATTAACAGTTAAGCAATAATTTTCGCCCCAAAAGTAGGATTGTTCAACAGCGTTTACAGCTGTGACTAAAATTTACCAAAAACCGGAAAATGGTGTCAATACAAGCCAGCACTCAGTCCGAGTAACATATGACCGTAGTTAAACCTTATGCGGTGGCAATACATGGTATAGAAAGATCACTTGTGAGGCAGCGTGGTGGAATCAGACTCTCGTCAATTTTTGGACATATAGAGTTATTGGTATCATCTTAAAGCTTGTTTTCTTGTCTTTATTTGAATGAAAAAATATCCATTTATCTTGAATACAAGTCGAGATATTTGCAAAAGAAGGAGGTGGGGGTCACCTGTTTTCAGAGGTAGAAATAGTCAGAAAATGGCCGCCAAAGATTTGTTATTTCCTTAGCTTAAGAGTCCGTGGTAACTGAAAATTTACATTTTTGTGCCTTTTATCAACGTTTTTCAGAAAAATCCATACTGAAATGAGTTCTTTCAAGGGGATGAAAAGTATTGAGCCAAAAAACAAAAATTTGATAAAAAATCACAAACCGGCAGAAAAATGCAAGTCTCTTCTCTTTGATTATTTTGACGAGAGCCTGATTCCACCACGCTGCCTCATATTTATTGTCGGACAAAGTGCACATCATCTCCACCACTGAGTTAAAGTGAGTTACAATAAGTCGCGGTAAGATTTATTACTTCCATAAGATTGTCGTCTGTGCACGGTGCAACATTTCTACCTTTTGATCTATTGCTCCATTAATCAACCAGTTCTGATTCAAAAGTTTATTAAAGGACAAACATGAGGTTGCAGTATGATATTATAGCAAGGATAATGATAATGAGAATTATCTCATACGTTCCAGACACATAATATAGGGCTATTTCTCGGTAACTGATGGGACAGAAAAAATGCCTCATTTGTCCGGTCAGTTACCGAAACTAAACACGTCACAGAATTTGCATACAATATGTTGGTTTTTTTTGCAAATGACTACAGTCAATTATTCGTAATATGTCTTTCAATTGTTCTGATCTTTTAAAGTTTGAAAAAATTAATTGATATTGATTTACAGCGTTATCATTGTAGGAAAGTATAGTTTAAATGCCCCGTCAGTTACGCAGGAATAGCCCTTCAGCAAACGAATGCAAAACAGACTTTAGAGGCTGTTTACAAAGAACAGGCCTGCATGTCAAATATTGGTACACAAGCGTCGATTTAAACGTGCAATCTCCACAGAAACATTATCTCTTCATATCGCAGTAAAAGTCTACTTGAGTCCTTCTTTTGGAGTTTGCTTAACACACTATGCACACCTGAGGTCTCCACTCTCTGCCGAAGCCAACATGAGAATAGCCTTGACGTCAAGTGCGAAAGACCATTTTAACTTACTTTACTAATGGCAGGGAATGGGGGCGGGGAAGGGAGACTCAAGTAGACTTTTACCCACATTATTCTGACGAGCAAATTTGGATCGATACCAACACCCTAACTTTTTGTTTTTCCAGCGTAAACAAAACTGTGTTCTTTTCTGAACAGTTTGACATCACAAAATGAAAACAACACAGTATAGGTCTAAATCTGTTGCTCTTCCATTTGAGATGTAGTTTCTCAGGGTTCCCTTGACTCCCTAAATCCATCTTTTCAAGGTCTGATTCTTACTTTGTAGCCAGAGTATTTGATGTAATATGCTCTCGAGGCTGGCTGACAAAGTAGCGTCCGTAACGAGTGGCTAAAACATTTTATTCTTTCTTTTACTATGAAATGCAGGCAGGATTTCATACCAACAATTGCTCTTGAATCTCCATTTCTCTGCCTGCCTCTTATTGTTGGGATGTTTATGGTTTTCCGGAGACATCCCATCTCGCATGCTGTAAAATATTTTGCTTTCGTAGTTTTTACTTTATGCCCAGGTCTGGTGGTATTGCTAGGTAGTTTGTACAGTCCAGCTAAACAAGGCGTGGAAAGCGTCACACGACACACCGGCAGCAACAACGAAAAGCGGCGAAGCTGAGGGGGAAATCAAGTTTCACCAAGTCTAATTTGTGAGCGTGAACAGTCGTAAAAGACATAGTATTATGTTTTACAAGGCGCTCGTCAATTTTTGGGTATATGGAGTTATTGGTATCATATGAACCCTACCCGTACGTTGTGTTTTATTATCGTATCCATCCGACGAGGGGAACTCTGTGCTACCACTTTCCAAAGAGGAAATTTACACGTTAATCCGATCCGTACTCTTTGCATAGCGATGTGTCAAAATGATTTTTAGAGAAATACTGAAATTTTCCAAGAGATCTTCGTACTAAAAGTTCTAAAATGTGAAGAATACAACTCCGGAGGTACAAAATGGCCCCAGGGCGTACGGATAGGGTTAAAGCTTGCTCATTTACCTTGTTTTCCGGTGAAAAAATACCCATCTATCTTGAATATAAGTCGAAACATTTTGATACAGAGGTAAAAGTGGCGAGAAAATGACCCCCAAAGTTTGGTAAATTCTATAGCTTGAGAGTCCTCGAAAATTAAAATTTACATATCTTATGCCTTTAATTATAGTGTTTTAGTAAAGTTCTCATGGAAATGTGGTTTTTATATAGTTTTGTAAAAGGTGTTGAGCCAAAAAAAAAAGAAAAAAGTCGATAAAAATTGCCAAAACTGGAGGAAAAATACCTGTTATTTCATTATTTTGACGAGCGCCTGATTTCTCCACGATACCCCAGATATCGTCGGCAAACTGTTCCATTATTCAAAGCCCGTAAAGCATTTTTTTTCTTCTGGAGCCCGACAAGAAAACTTCGATATTTCTTTTTTTTTAATTGTAGCTATTTTATTATGTTCTCTTTTCAACATTTAGAATTTTAATTTGACAAAATATTTTTGGGCACCTACAACCGACACCTAAGAAACTGCAATTTTTTTTAAAAATTTTTTAATTAGGCTTAGAAAATCTGAACAGCTGGCTAACAAAACATATATATGTATACATATATATCTCGATACCAGCTGTGTACATTCGTCATTTTAAGTGACAAAAAACGTTTACCCCAACCCCCCCCCCCTTATAAAAAAACACTCCTTTTCCGCCTTCTTTTCAAGAAAAGAAATCTTCCTCCCGCTCCGCAACGTGAAAGTTAAGTGTTTCATTTCTTTTCTAAGCGTCGTATTTCTATTACAAAAATATTGGCGAGTACACGGTCTTTTATGTAGTTTTGTTATGTAAGGGCGTGGTTGTTTTTTAGTTGTTGTTGTTGTTGTTGTTGTTGTTGTTGTTGTTGTTGTTGTTGTTGTTGTTGTTGTTGTTGTTGTTGTTGTTGTTGTCTTTGTATTGTGGGAGGGTATTTTGTCATTTGTTGACGGGGGAGGGGGGGGCTGCATTTTGGTGAGACTTTGGTGGGGGGGGGGGGCGGGGTATTTATTTCTTTGTTTGTTTGTTGGTTGGTTTGTTGGTTAGTTTGTTTGTTCTCAAAAGCAAAACTTGGAATTATGTAAGATTTCGATGATACATTGTTCATTATACAGGATACATAAAATAAATGGGTCACAACATGGTACCACAACAGTTATGCAGAGAAATAACTACTATCATATGTCCCACACACCACTCACGTTCTACGATGGAAATGCCTAAAGGCAGGGCAGAAGAGATGGGAACAGTGCGTCTTCTAAGAAATGAAGACGTTTATTAGGAGAACAAATCGTCGATGTCCGAATCTGAACTAATAATTATATGTGTATGAACATTGATTTTCATAAAAGTGGAAAGGTGATTTCTTCATAATTCGTCATCATCAAATGCAAGTTCAGCAACACCATCGACGATCTTGGTTCACCAATCATTTCTCTACGTGGAAGCTCTTTTTTTAAAGCTATATTATTATTATTATTATTTTAATCTTTCCCCGTCATCCATCTTTGAAGGTTCTTCAAATAAGTTGCTTTAAATCTACCCCTGCCTCGGTTGTCTTCAATTCTACAAATGAGAACTAGAAGTTTAAGGCCCTTACGTCTATTAAAGTGCCTCAGAAACTGCATTCGCCGCTTCCTTTCTTTTATCCCTTGCCCATTTACATGAGATTGACGCCATCTGATTAGTAGGAAAAGTGCGTATGATAGTGTCCAATAGTGTATGACGTACATACTTAGAATGACATGTAACTGTTACAGGTAGATCTTCAAGTACTTTAGATGTAAGTGAAGGATCTGAGAGCTATGATCATTTTAGAAATAATGGTGGTGGTGAGTGATGATGTGGAATTGCGTTTAAGTAATGTTAGTCTTATCTTTCTCTGTTCAAATGAGTCGTCGCTTCCTTACTGTTTTTTTCAGCGAGCGGCCCACGTTGACTACGTCATGTGCTTCCTCATTTGATTCCTTTTATTTCCAACAAGAAATTCTCAGAAGTCTCCTAAGAAACCACATCTCTGTTTGTTCTATCTTACTGTAATTGTCTTTTATAATTGCCCAGCATTCGCAGCGTAATCCCGTTATCTGTATAATTATCTACAAGAATTTCTCAGAATATTGTGTATGGTGTTATTTTTATTATGGTAACATTATTTGTAATTACGTTTATGAATAACATAATTCTAGCCCCTCCCCCAGATAAAATGAAATAAAATTAATATAAATAAAAGGTAAAAGTGTTTGACGTAATTTGGCAGGTGCGCAGTTCGAGTCGGACATCAACGAAATATTCCTGGCTTTAACCACACTCACTTAACACTCAGCCACATGCCCTGCTGCTACCACAACCAGAAACACCACAAATGCTCCACTACACCCCCACACAAAACAGTGGAAAGCCGGCGCGCGCCATCAAGGCTAGAGGGTCCCAACGTCCAATCAGGTGTTGCGATGTGCTGGAAGGCCGTACACAGAGCGCATCATCAAGTCGAAGTAGCAATCATCGTCAACAGTCGCGCTCACTCCGGCGTAGTAGTTCAGGAATTCCTGAGGAAACAAGAGAAAGTCGTTGCATTTTAGGCGTCATCATCATCATCATTGCCTTTCTCACCCTGCACCAGGGTATAGACCTCGGACAACATTCTTTCACCTTTCTCTATCCTGGGCTAGCCTCTTGATGTTATTCCATGTCTTCCCACGTTTCTGTATTTTAGGCGTAGAACGCACATAATTATTTCTACATACCATTTTGAGCCAATAAATTATCGGCCAACAGCGCACAATTGAAGGAAAACGAGGCTTGTTTAGATTATAAGTAATCTACTTGGAGAGCCTAAACAGATGAATGTCTGGAGGGATCAGGATAACGTAGCTTTTTGGAGAGCATTCGATAAAAGGAATGAATGGAGAACCATGATAGCCGATGTCTGTCACAGATATGGCACTTGATGATGAGCGTACAAATTTTTGTATCATCGAGCATAATGTTCTGTCGATGGAACCCATTGACGAAACTTAAAAAATGTGTTCTCTGTCGTTGATCCCAGCAGGGTTCTGGAGTTAACGAAACAATTGGTCTTTACTGAAAGATGTAGATAGTACTATTTATAAATGCAAAGGACTGTTTTGACTATTACGTTTTAACCAGGATTTTCTTTTAAACTTGAACCATAAAGTAAAACCAAGTCGTCGGTTAGAAACAAATGTAAAAACAACCAACATGTGTCCCGCGCACTCATATAGCTTTGTGTAGTTGCAAGTGCCGTAAAACTTACCAAAACAAAACCCAAAAAATGATGAAACGTGATCTGAGAAGATTGATTTTCTTTTCAAATTCTATTGTGTTGACTCATGAGGCCGACCAGCGAGCCAGTCCATACATCAAAAAATTATTGCTGCTTTGCGACTTTTATTGCAGTTTGTTACGGCTGTAAGGTCAATGTCCCGGGAGATCCTGGGCTCTGGAAATTGCTTGTTTTGTAAAAGATACTAGTCGTAAATAGGTCAACAATAAATCGTAGCGAAAGACAGTCGGTCATATGGCATAGTGTTATGGGCAATGCTCTGAAAGACCATGAGGACATTATCAGCGTAATAGAGAGAAAAACAAAACGGCTAAGACCTGAGGACAACATTAGTTGCATGACTACACAGCCTGCTCAAGCGTCTGGACTACCTCTAGGGAAAATTTTGGAATGGAAATAAGCGCCAGGAGAGGACAAATGAAAGGAGACATTGCTAAAGACCTCACAATTCGAAGCAGAAATTCGGCTCAGTACTGCATTTTAAGTACTTTCAGGCAGTTTTCGCTGAAAAAGGATAAAGATCTGAACAGTTCACAGTTCAAACAATGACAGCACTAAATAGACTGAACAACTTACTCATGGATAATAACAGCATAACACTGAGCCTGAGGAAGACCCTTTTCACAACACTCACGGGAAAAAAGCTGAGATGGTACCGTCACATTACAGAATCAAGTGCTCTTGCTAGGATTGTTCTATGACGAACATTGGAGGGGAGAGGGAAGGAAGTCAGACAAGGAAAGTGATGGACAACATCATTAAGTGGACAAGGAAGTGTTTAGAAGAGAGTCAGCACCTCGCTCATGACCTAGTTACGTGGAACAGTCTGACCTTAAAATCACAAAGGCGTCTCCACTTACAAGAAAGGGAACAAAAACTTTTTTAAAAATAATATGGATAAAACGTGTTCCTCATAAAATTAGAAAAAAAACGGTGGTGTATGAACAGCACCCCATCAGCAAGGGAGTTGTAAGCTGGCCTGGGAGAATGTTCGCTACCTCAGAAATACACAGTTCATTCTGCTCAGTACCTAGTTCTGAGAAATTTGACGTCAGAAATGTTGAGTTTCACAACATGACAAGCTTTTTCGAACGCAATTCTTTGATTATCTTAGTAACGACTCCGAATAATCTTGCGATTTTGATAGAGCATATAGAACACTTGGTTTATGAATTCGTGATCTTAGTGAATCAAAACGGTCAAAAATATCAGATAGAACTTTGTAATTCAGAGTTAGCTATTAGACAGTGATTAGATGCATTTCGTTACAACTGAAAACGCAATAGTGCTAGGAGCCGATAACAACATTGGGCGTTACACACTCATTCATTTACACCACATGACTGGTGCCTATGTCATAGCGGATAGACTCTTCACCGTCGCGTGCAGAAGACGTGAGTTCGATTCCCATGTGGGGAGAATTTTTATCCTATATCTCGGGGCTTTTTTTATGTGGGGATGATGCATTCTCTCGGCCTGTATTGGCTCTGACAAGCAGGGTCAATGTCTGCCTCCTAAATTATTTAAATTGTGGAAGCGTAAAAATAACTCTACATTTAAAAAAAAACAACTAAAACTGTCTTCATCCTATGAAGACTACAGGGGAAAACAACTGTAGTCACAAACTGAAAATCCTGAGAGTACCTGTATTTTTGTTCAACTGTTGATTGATTATTTTTGTTAGATGTCCCATTCAACAACAATTAACAATAAACCACCAGTCTAACAAATATGAAGTTACGAGTCCACAAGCTTTTAAAATTGGCACCCTCACAATTTCCAGTTTGTGACTACAGTCGATTTCCCCTGTGGTCTTCATTTACCTCTGTAAGAGTTATAAACTTCGGGGACACAGTCAACTTTGAAGTGCTCAGAAAATAATAACAACCAAGCCGAATTGTACATTATGGGCACAGACTTAAAGAGATTTAAAAATTGATATTTCGAAAACACTAGGTTTCTTTTTGCAAAAGTAATCCATCAATGGCATAATATTCAGCATTTAACTATACTCATTAATAAAAACATTGATAAAATCATGTATTTGCTGATAGGGTCTGTAATGATTTTCCTGGAAACCTTATTACGCTCCAGTACCTTTGAAAAGCACCCATTGCTGTCTTCATTTTCTGAAGACATTATATTATTTATTTATTTTAAAAATCGCACTACAAGAAAATCCATAGTTGGGTTTGCTACGTAAAAGCTATTTCAGGTTAAATCACGTTGTGTGATTGATCGGATCAGGAGTATTTTTATGAGGCGTCGTGGTGCAATCAGGTTCTCGTCAATTTTAGAGCATGTAGAGTTATTGGTATCATCTTAAAGCTTGTTCACTTGTCTTTATTTGGATGAAAAAAATGTATCATTTATCTTGGTATACAAGTCGAGATATTTGCGAAAAAATGGCCACCAAAGATTAGTTATTTCCTTAGCTTAAGAGTCCGTGGTAACAGAAAATTTACATTTTTTGAGCCTTTAATCAACGTTTTTATGGAAAATCCACACAGAAAAGAGTTCTTTAATGGGCATGAAAAGTGTTGAGCCAAAAAACAAAAATTTCATAAAAATTCACAAACCTGCGGAAAAATGCAGGTTTCTTCAGTTTGATTATTTTGACGAGAGCCTGATTCCACCACGCTGCCTCACATGAGGTGTCCAGGTGAAGTGAGGCGGTCGTCAAAACAAAGAAAATCCAAGAAATAGACGTTTATTTCCGCTGTTGGGCATTTTCTTCTTCTTCTTCATTTTCTTCTTCTTCTTCATTTTTTTCTTCTTCTTCTTCTTCTTCTTCTTCTTCTTCTTCTTCTTCTTCTTCTTCTTCATATTATTATTATTATTATTATTATTATTATTATTATTATTATTATTATATTGTTGTTGTTGTTGTTGTTTTTGTTGTTGTTGCTGCTGTTGTTGTTGATGTTGTTGTTGCTGCTGTTGTTTTTGATGTTGTTGTTCTTGTTATTGTTTGGGGCTCAACAACTTTTATGTCCATTTAAAAACACATTCCTGAGCTGAGTTTACTGAAAAACGTTGATCAAAGGTACAAAAAGACGTAAAATTTTTAGTTTCCATGGGCACTACAACTTTAGTAGTGAACAAACTTTAGCGGCCATTAATTTTCCTCGCCATATTTACCTCTGATACAAGGCCACCCTATTCACCTTCATTTATTAATATACTGAATTAATATGCAAGATCGGTGATTATTTTGTTCATAAAAAACAAGGCAAATAGATAGGCTCTCAGTTCTCACCCCAAAAAATCTATATCAATATGTCCAAAAATTGACGAGAGCCTGATTTCACCGCGTCGTGACACATTTGGAAGCTTTTATGACAAGACAGACACCGAGTAAGAGCAGTCTGTGTTCTAGAAGCGAGGAACTTTAAATAATGTCACGACGCGCTGTAATCAGGCGCTCGTCAAATTTTTGGCGTAAACAGTAATTTTGTTGATATTGACTTAAAGCTCGTTTATGTGTCCTTCTGTAGATGAAAAAACATCCATTAATCTTGAAAAGAAGTCGAGATATTTCCGATTGAAGGAGATGGGATCGGCTGGTCAGAGAAAAGATTATTTTTTTTAATGCCTGCTAAATTTGATGACTTCCAGAGCTTGAGCATCTATGGAAACTGCAAATTTACATTTTTGTGTATGTCTTTGATCAATGTTTTCAGTAAACTCCATATAGAAATGTGTTTTTGAATGGTAATAAAGGGTACTGAGGTTTAAAAAAAAAAAATTTAAGCAATGATATAAATTACCCAATGGTCAGAAAAATGCCTGTTTCTTCGATTTCATTTTTTGGCGAGCGTCTGATTTCCCAGCGATGACAAACAATGTCGTCCTACCCTGGAGCTATACATTACGCTGTATAGCAAGGCGGAGGTTTAGGGATGGAGAGGATGAACCGAACAAAACTTGCTTTCGAATATCGAGTATTTTCAGGTTACGCACCACACTCTACGGAACATTACAGCAACTGCAGCAAACCTGCATTTATCACTACATGGCATTGGACAGAAGGGCGAGAGCCCAGATGTTGCTGGATCGATAACAACAACAACAGGTTACGCACAACCAACCATTTTAGAGATTAGATAAGATAAGATAAGATCAGATCAGATTAGATTAGATAAGATAAGATAAGATCTCTGCAAAGAGATTTTGCAGTCGGATAGTAAATGCCCACACACACACAGACACATACACAC